GGGGGGGGGGGAATGGGGGGAAAAGAAGAGAGAGAGGAAAGCAAGGCGATGTAGGAAGAAAGAAACTGACATTAGAAAGTAAAGAAAACGAGAGAAACGGTAACGCGATATAATACGTATACATATAATGGTAAACGTAATGGAAAAGAAAAATAGAGAAAAATAGCGAGCCAACGTGCGAGCCACGTCGCTCACGAACCACGTTGTGTTCCGGGTAGTTGTATGCCGTGGACTTAAAGCAAAGTAACGAAAATAAAAGTAAAAGATACACATACATAATCATAATTAAACAAAGTAAACGTACGCTAGGACGAGTTTAACGAACCGTGGGATTTTTAGTAAAAGAAAAAAAAAAGGAAAAAAAAAAAAGAAAAAACTGGTGTTAAAAGACTTGTGTGCTAGTGAACCTTTAAAACGATAAACGAAAAGTAAAAAAGAAAAAAGAAAAAAAAAAAAGAAGCCGCTGTACATATCCGTTGTGTATAGCCAGTGTGTCGCAAAAAAAACCCACGCAAAAAGTATAAGTAGATTCGCGTCCACGTTGCAAGAACAGTGCATTTTTTCTACGAAGTAACGGAGAGTGATGGTCAAAACGACTGGCGCGTCGTCTTTTCATTTTTCTTTTTTTTTTTTTTTTTTTTTTTTTCTCTTCTTTCCTCTTCTTCCCCCCGTTCAATTAACGATCGATCGTCGCGTGCGAAAATTCGAGCGGAAAACCAATGACTGGTTCACTTTCGTTCCGTTTCGTTTCATTTGACGACAGCTCCATTTCCGGCTCGGTCATCAAATCGACTGCATTCTAGATGGATCGTCATCGCGATTTTTCGTTTCGTGGAGATGGACGAGACGAGGCCCAAGATGACACACACACACACACACACACACACACACACACACGAGGCATATCCACACGAGTCTGTGATCCACCGATTATTCGATATCTCTCCCCAAAGTACGCGAGACTTAATAGCGGAATTTTTACATTCGTTCCTGCATTTTCCAAGTTTCTCAGCGTTCGTTGCCATGAACAGCCTTGGGCTCGACTCTCGTTATATTTTTAATATCGGGTTTAGTAGCTGCATATATATATATAACGTAGTTTCTTCGAATTGTAGATTTACGTAGTGAACTTGATTTCTTTCTTCTCTGGTTAATTAACACGAGCTGTGTTAACGCCGTAACGATCGGTTATTTTCGAAAGTAATTTTTCTAATTGATGAAAATCATATGGCGCAACTGGTCGTTATAACGTTAACAAAAGATTCGCCGAAAGTAACTGTGTCGTAAATGTCGCGCGTGAATATTTTAAATAAATTTTCAATTTTCAAATCCCTCCTCGTGATCTGTTATAATATCACACTGATAAACATTGAAATTGAAGTGATTACTTGCTCCCAAATGTGTCGGATTAAATTTTATTAAATTTGGCATCTAGTTTATTTCAGAAACATTTACAAGATGAAGAAATTATGTGCAATTCCGAGATCGATAATTCCTCCAGATTATAAATAACGTGGGAACTGCATTGAAGAAACTACGTGAAATTAAGATTTCTCACACGGATCGGATCCTATATCTATTCATTTCAAATCAGATGATCGTTAAATTTCCTATTCCCGACAATCGTTTCTCCCTCGAGGACATTGCAAAGTATTTACAGACGACGATGCTTGTCCGATTTGTCTATTAACTCGCCGTTACCTGCCATCCGCAATGTAATAGTGTTCTAGATAGTCAGCATGCAACACACGTACGTGGTATGTGTGAACTCTGAAGGAAATGAAAGAGCCGACAAATACCACGTCAGGGGGGGAAAAAAAAAACACTTTTCTATGTGTACTCGTCTGTAACGCGAAACGATACGTAAGGAGAAAGAGATGAGAGAAATGGAACAACAGAGATATTGAAGGTCTGTGTAATCGAGTTAACTTTACGCTTAGCGCATGGTCACCTTCGAGCGATACAGCGCCGTGAGAATTCTGCTTTTTCTTTTTTTTTTTTCTTTTTTCTTTTTAAGATGAAAACGCAACGGCAGAAAACGGCTACTATTCGAAGCTTTGGAAAAAATTTCCGTCTATAGATCGTATCACTTTTACGCGAACGTTCGCGATTATAATCATTTGCATTTTCAACGATCGAAGGTCTTACGGAAATATATTATATATGCTTTTTAATTTCAATATTTTATATATTACATAAATTGACCCTGCGAAGATTGCTGTTTTATTGAATTTTCGAGTTGAAGATGTTACTATGCTCGTCGTTGATCTTTAAAAATATTTCAGAACATTAAAATGTTGACAGATTGTCTTTGTAAAAATTTCAAATTTTTATCTCAAAAATTCGTCAAATCTTTGACAATTACATCTTCGTTGTAAAGCAACTGTATTGTCCATCTCCCGAGGTGTTTTATATTAAAACATTCCTTCTCAGTCACAGAGTGACATTAAAAATCAAAAACTCGGTGAAAATCGGTATTTACCCAATTTCTTCGAGTATAATACTGAGTGAACGACGCTCATTTTATCTCTGTATCGTTTTTAACATCATCTTCCAAGTGACGAATAGAACTTGCATAATATTTCACGATGTTATCAATCAAAACCTATAGACTATAATGGTAAATTCGTTATACCACAATCAATAACTTTCCTCACACTGTCAAAATAATAATTTCCCATCCAAAGTAATAAAACGAAACATTCTAAATTTTTCTTCGTAGCGTTAGAAAGGTCAAATGATAACGTGAACACGTAATACAGCTATTAATTTAAAATTAGATCTCAATGGTCCCGATGGTCCACTCATGAATTAAATCGATCGTCGACGAGCCATCGCAATCTATACGGGCGTGTAAAATAACGGAGACCGCAGAATTCTTACGGAGGCTGTGATCCCTGTGACGAGGTGCGAAAATTAATTATTGTTACGCTCGACACGAATCTTCGCCGTCCACTATGTTTGGAGGGCGAACCGCGATCGGCACACGACTAAAAGAAAGCAATACTTCGTAACTATCGTGTATGTCTTTAAAGAGAGGAAGAAAGAGAGGAAGAAATGAGGCAAAAGGATATCTAAATGATGTGTACGAGAGTGAAAGAGAGGGAGAGACAGAATAAAATTGCGTGCAAGAGTGCGTGTGTATATCGGGTTTAAAAGAAAAAAAAAAAAAAGAAAAGAAAAGAAAAGAAGAGAGAGAAAGAAAGAAACGTTCGTAACGAACGGACGAATGAATGAGCGAAGAGCGAGCCAGAGCTATATAGTAAATTAATATATAACATATTATTGAGTTGTGTTGAGACTATAGCCGGAAGGAACAAGTCGTGCGCGAGTCTTTTCTTTTTTTTTTTTTTACATTTCTTTCCTTAATTCTCGAAGAACCTCGCTACGTTTAAGAGGAAAACACACATGGTACATATTTGTTCGTGATCAATGTCTCGTTGTGTTTCTCCTGTTTTTTTTTTTTTTTTTTTTTTTTCCAAGCGACACGTAAAAAGCAAGAGGAAAACGCGATCAACTTTTACGTGTCGCTGTGTCTTTTTGTACATATGCACATACAGAACTGCACGTCCTCGAAACCGAGACTCGATAATGTTTTATTCTATTTTTTTTCTTTTACTGTTTCTCGTTTGAATCTCGTTGACATTTATCGATTACTGCGTGTGTTCCGTGAATACGTACGATATATGTATATGTGTATATATATATATATATACATGTACATGTGTGTACGTACATACAGTTCACGAAGATATTCGAACGCCTATCATAGAAAAATACACATATGTGTTATATAAAATATTTTGAAATTTCATGAACTGTAATGAGAAACGACTTGTTGTAATATCATGTTAGTAGAATTTTAAACCAATCTGAAAATGTATAGGTATGAAAGCTGCAGAGTGTGTTTAATAAAAAATTCGTATACAACGTGAATTTTAAAACATATTTTAAACACATAGTAAGACGGTCCTATTGAAAACTGATTATAATTGACTGTTTAAATACAGATTCATTTCAAACTTGACCAATATGATCACGATAATCAAATCTCGCTACAATGTTAATAGAAATTTCAAAATGTTTTTTATGTAACGTGATAATATTCGTAATAAGTGCTTGGATATTTTTCGTGAGTAACTGTAGCTGCGTGGCTTTTTCTACTGATCGTGAGAGAACAAAGGAATCGAACGAGTCGAACATACGCGACATTGA